TATATATATGCATATAGATGCATAAATAAATATTTATTAATACAACTATTATAATTGTGATTATAATCACAAATATTTGCCTTTATTATACCTGCCATAGGGGGTCCATCTCTTCTGGAAAGATCTGGAAGTATTTCTCGGCTAGTTCCATAGGAGGTAGAGTCTGTAGCTGTAGGTTGGTCCAGCACTGTACAAATTTCACCAGAGACTCAAAGGTGTAGAGGCCGAGCCGATCATTTCCATAGTTAGACAGGTGTGTCATGAAGATGCTGATCTGAGGGTGGGGACAGTGTTATTTACATATAACTTTATTTTGTTTCTTTTTAAGGAAAGCTTTGGAAACATCTCATATTTTCATTTTGAAGATCATAATCTAGTTTATTTTTTCAGCTGCTGCACTAGTAAACACTTCAGGCGATAGGGCTGGACACAAACAAAAGCATAGAGTGCAAGGGCAGGACTCTGTCACTGCTTAAGGCTTTGGGAAATATAAACAAACACACACAAAGAAAAATATACTCCCTCCCATTCACTCAACACACACACAAGCACAAACACCGAGGGGAAAACAGCACAAATGCAGCTCACAGGGTTTAGGAGGATGGTGAGGAAGAGTTCTCCTCCACGTATGCTCTTGTCCAGCTCGCGAGAGCCTCCAGGGTACTCATTATAGAAGACACGAACAGCTTGTAACACTCCAAAGAGAAAGGAAAACTTGAAATCGCATCATATGACCCCTTTAAAAAAAAATTCTAACAAGACCTTTAAATGATTACTACTGCTGGAATATTACATCTATTACAGAAAACAGACCACACAACATGAGAGAAAGAGGGAGGGAGAATGAGAGAAAGCTGTTGTAGAGTACCTGATACCAAGAGTAGGCTCTGTCGACTGGGTTGATAAGCAATGCTAAGATCTTGGCTCTGGGCAGTAAGGCGGCAGCCCTCTTTGGAACCACCTCTGTATCAAAGTAGTTGGCACTTTTCTCAAACATGAAGTCTGTGCTGACGTTCGAGGGGAAGGGAAAGAAGTCCATGTACCTGCAAGAGATTAAGACACGCAATAACAACAAATATGCTACAAGAGGCAACAATAAATGATTTTATTTTGTATTCTATTACAGGACACTGTAACATCATCTCACTATTAAAAGTGATGGATCTATTAAAATTTCAATATGAAACCTAGACAGTCTTACAGATATAATAAAGTGGAGGGGTGATAGAAACAAACTTATTATGACTAATGACTTGTGTCTGCTACACTGGCTGGGAGTGAAAAAGCTGTGCTGTGTATATTACCAGTCAATGCCATCGTGGTAATTCGGCCCGTTAAAGAACTGGATCTCCTCAAAGGTGACTGGGCTGGGGAAGTTGCTGGTGATGGCGGGGTGAAGGGTCAGGAAGGAGTGCAAAGCTGAGGTACCTGTGGTCAGAAATAAACAATATCAAACGCAATCTCTAAGGCTGCATTTTGGGTAATTTATTCGGTTACCCTAAGTAAGATTTAAGGTTTGAGTATGGAAATACCAGGACTCACCTGTTTTCTGTGGGCCAATAACCAGAAATTTGGGCAGCCTATCACAGGTCTTCTCTTTGGACCAGATGTCTTTATGTCTCTTGTCATGACAGGGGTTCTGAATGGATGAAAAGAAGACACCATTCCCATGTTTTTGCATTTCATATTTTATTTGATGAATGAATTCACATAAATTTTCCATCCATTCATTAGGAGATGAATTCATTTTTAATTATTAGAATATAATTGATAATATTATTAATCTATAAATATAATTAAAATATAATTATATATTAAAAATATATTAATAATAATATATATATATAATAAATAGAATTAATCTCCACCTGCAGACAGAAGAAGGTGAGAGACCTGTACAGACAGCATTCAATTCAGCTTCAGCCATTGCACAGACGTACTCCAAGCCGAATGTATTAGAAGGAATGAAACCAAAACAAGCCATTAGTCTTTTAATCTCATCATGGTGGGCGCAATTGAGCTTAGGCTACAATAACATAATTTTGCATTATTTTTCTTGGATTTGAAAACACTGGGTCTAATTAATAAAACACAAGCAAAACGAATCTCTATATTATTTGTTAAATCATTATTGGATACACTGTTGAACTGAATTGAATAATGTAAGATTTACACAGAAAATCATTCTGCTTGTGTTTTATTAATAAAGGCCCTTTCACACCAAACGCAATGTGAAAAATTAATCACAGACACATTACTGCTCAAACGTTTAGGATCAGCAAGATTTAAAAAAAAGAAATTAATACTTTAATTCTGCAAGGATGCATTAAATTGATCAAAAGTGACTGTAAAGTCAATTTATAATGTTACAAAAAAATTCAATAAAAAAAAACAACAACAACTGTTCTTGTAAACTTCCTATTCAAGAATCCTAAAAAAAAGTATCATGGCTTCCACAAAAATATTAAGCAGCACAACTGTTTGCAACATTGATAATAAAAAGAAATGTTACTTGATCACCAAATCAGCATATCAGGATGATTTCTGAAGGATCATGGGACACTAGAGTAATGGCTGCTGAAAATAACTTTGCCATCACAGGAATACATTTTTATTTTTTATTTTAAAATGTACTAAAATAGAAAACAGTTTTTTTTAAATTCCAATAATATTTCACAATATTACTGTATTTTTGATCTAACTGCAGTAATGCAGTATCAATCAAGATTAAATGAATTAAAATTATTTTAATCTCCTGACAGAACCTACTTCATAAAAAGGAATTTAATGGGAAAAATTAAGATGTAAACAAACTATGTTGTGAATGAATACTGAATAAATTGTAAAAAAAAATAATAATTTACACTGATTCTTTCATGTTTTTCTGTATAAGATTATCAAGCTTTACAGTGAAGTGGCAATGTTTTACCTTTATGCCACGATGTATGAAGCCCCTGCGATGGCGTGCTGGTCTAAGGTGTGGATATTCTTCTGTGCTGGTAACTGTGATCCCCCATACGCTTTTCCAGGCCTCGTACAGCTGGCTGTGTACAGGATACACCCCTGAATGGTGGGGGGCCACAGCGTACCCCATGTCTGTGGGAATACCGTGTTCCTGCAATGGCAAGACACAAACGAACGCTCATGATGATCAATCACACAGCTACTCAACACATGAAATTCACCCGCAATTACACTGCCAAGTCTTATGGGGCGAACGAAAAGTCGATACGAGATGCATTAGAGATGCCGTTAACAAGAAATGTAATCAGGGTGTGCGTGAGAGAGAAGCTTTTGATTATGCTTCTCTGCAGAAGAAAAAAACAACTGTGTGTCAAGAGGCGTAGTTATTTCTAACGCCACAGGAGGGTGGTAGACAAACACATCCTCAGATGAGCAAAGGGCTTTACTTCAAGTCCAAGGTGCCAATTTAAGAGCTCCACGTGTGAGTTCCTTCTCGCTCATGTGTGTGAGCACAAACTGTGAGATCCACAAGCCCCGGTTAAGGACGGCCCTTTGCAGGCTCATTAAACCTTGATGAAGAAGCTGTGTCTTCTCCATTGAGCAGAGTGCAGGAGAAGGCATATGTCAGTGTCTGCTCTAAAGACAGGATGTGACAGAAGGATTAACGAGAGGAGGAAAGGGCTGGTTAGTATTCACGGTGCACTCCCTCTCGCTGTCCGTCTGCCGGCGGTCCATATCCCACTCCAATGACCATCATTACACCGGGGCGGGCTCGTTTCAACAGGCCAAATTCACAATCTCCTCGGCGGATGCACACCGAGTCAAGGTCAAAGAGAATCCTACCGATCCAATGAAAAAGTGCTAATACAAATCTATAATGAAATACCAACATGAGATAAAGCTGGCGGGCAGAGAATCGATTCTCGCACCTCTGCGACAGCAGCAATAATGGCTGTAAATAGTAACACAATGACGAAGGAACAAAGCGAGCTCCCCTGTCGCAACACAACAAACGTAAGGAAAAAACGAATATGGAAAATATATTCCATATGCATTTGCTTATCCAAGTTTAATATTTAAAGAATATGTAAATCTTTTGTAAGTTGGTTGAAGAGTGTAAACACTTTCAAGACATTCAACCAATGGAGTGCCAATAGGGGCGGAATAACCTGTGTGGCCGAACAATAGTAGACGAGTGGAGTGTTTGGTAATATTAGGTTTGCAATTCTGTTTGGTGCAATTAGTGTCACACAAATCAAACAGTTCAGCTTTAAGATAATTAAGATAATTTCACCAACAAACCTGTGCAAACTGCATGTTGAGTCTCATCTGCTCTGCCAACACGCTGACATTGTGGAAAAGGTGTGGTTGCATGTGACTCCACATGTGTGGAAACCACCAGAACTCATGCCGGTGCTGCAACAGCATGTCGTCGCCTTCATCCTCCTCCTCTGTACCTGCAAAAACACATATACATACTGCTGAAGTTTAACAGTAAAGACATCTGGGTCTAAAAGAGCATAAGAAAAATCTGTTTGTTAGTTTGAACTTTGTATCATCAAAGAATCCTGACCAAAAACGTATCACATTTTACACAAAAATATTAAGCAGTAAAACTATTTTAAACATTGATAAGCAATGTTTCTTCAGCACCAAATCCGCATTTTAGAATGGTTTCTGAAGGATCATGAGACACTGAAGACTGGAGCAATGATGCTGAAAATTCAGCTTTGCCATCACATAATAAAAATTTTATTTGAAGAAAAAATGAAATTTTAACATCTATTAAAATAGAAAAATAAAGGCAGACTTGGTGAGCATGTTTCTTAAAAAAATCAAATTAAATTAAAAAATAAATAAATAAATCTTACAGATGTCAAATTTTGCATTGCAACTATTGTGGACATGGCTAGCAAAAGTGACTTCATTCTGAACAACAACAGAAAATAGATCTGACCATAAATATCTTTTTTGTTGGTTTAACAAGATTCATATTTGTTGGTTTAACAAGAATCAGATTTAAGACAAAAAAAAACGTCTGATTTCTCCTGAGGTTTAAACAAATGCCAAAGTCTCTTAAAAGACAACAAGAAAAGGGAAAAAAGTACCTGCATGGTAGAACTTCCCGGAGAAGCCAAGATTGAAGGTGAAGTTGGGAACTAGTGTCTGCAGTTTATTCTGTGTGCTGAGCAAAGCCTTGAAATGGAAGAAAAGCTATCACTTTAATAACACAATATCAAAGTCCTGCCTAAAATCTGAATAAGATTAGCAATATGCCAAGAACAAAAACAACAACATTTGACTTTACTCTGAGCTGTGCTTGAAGGCAAAAACAACTAGTGTGGTGTTAAACGAATCTCTCCAGTACCTTAGGCATTCACATTAATAAATGTATGAGTTAAAGTCACCAATAGATGTCAGTGTGGTGCCAATTCAGCCCTTTGAAGAAAAGAAGAACTTTCAGGCCATCGGCCAGATCGACAGACTGAGTGGGATGTGAAATATATATACATTTGCATTCAAATCTCCTCTACCCACGGGCAGGTCAGATGCGCCGAATAAAGCCTTAACATCAATCTAAACTCATCCTTGCGAAATGAACACATTTCATAACTTAGCATCACTGCGCACATCTAGCTAATGACGGCCCTGTGAGGCTTGAAATACAAAATGAGCCTGCCATCAAGCCCTTTAAACCCTGAGAGTGATACGGGGGTATAAGCAAATTACAGCGCTGTTCCAGCACAAATCAGACGGCGGGGAGAGATAGTGTCGCTTCCCGCACAAATCTAACACAAAGCCAAGCCGATAGTTGCAGCAGTATCACAAATCAAGCCGTGCTGCTGTGGAGAGAAGGCTGCTGCTTCGCAATGAAGAGATGGCATCTTTAAGAGCCGCCAGTGTCCCGGAGTATGAGTGTATCCAATATTTGTTCTGCCTTGAGTGTGTTTGCTCAGCATAATCCTGCTGTTTTTATGGCAATCTGCGAGCCATCCAAGATTGCATGGTGATGTCCAGGGTGGACAGATTCAGTAGTGTGAATCATCTTTGACAGGTTGATAAAAGAAGAGTTAGTTTGAAAAAGAAAAAAAGATGCTACCCATTAAAAAAAAAAAAATGTTTCTTTTCACAATCAATAACTTTGTTCAATGAGTTATGACAGAGTAAGAGAAACTCTCAGAAAACAGCTTTTGTCACCACTGACCTTTGCTGTCACAACAGACTTGGCTCAGAACTGCAGCAACACTACAGAAACATTTTCATACCTGAATCTTATTTTCTTCCCATAGCCCATCTGATTATCTCTTAACCTAACAGACTAGAGTTCAAAATGGTTGCTAAGACAAGATTCAGCTCCTGCGGATAGAGTAACCAGATGCACAGCAAAGCCAGTCCAATGTCACATCCGGCAAAGGCATCACATTTGGACAACAGAGATGGGCAAAACTGTCATTCCCTTACAGATAATCTCTTCTCCCCATACAGCTGACACTCAATGGTCACATGAAGTCTCTAAAGCCTTGCTCAGACTGTCAGTCCAAATTTTGTATTTTTGTTCTTATCCGATTGGAATCCAATCTAATTGATTGACTGTCCACACTGTGTATCGCAAACTGATCAAATTCAATTTGTGTGTCCCGTAGCGCTCTTTCGTTTTCTTGACACCTGCATTGGTTTCTATGGCAATGCCTTTGCGTTGTTATGCCTATGCTTCAAACAGCAACACCAGCAATAGAGTTTGCAATACAGATGTTGTCTTACGACATGACAACATGTTGCCATCGCGCTGGATTATATTTCATTTTATGAGGCAGCGGCAGAAATGCAGGAAGCTGGAATGTGCGACTTTATTCCGTGCTGCCGTCTCCGCTACTTTCAAAACTCAAAGAGGTGCTTATACTAGAAGTATATTGTCTTTTTCTACTTGACTTGCACTTCGCAACAACACATCTTTGTTTCTGCAAAGATGTTCAGCATGTACAAAAACGTCTGATGTGTTTATGTTTTACGTGGCATGAGAACGTGAAAAAGATACGCTAAATCTGATCTGACCGGTCAGACTGAAACGGATTTCCAGGGATGCGATTTGAATAGGATTTCAAACCACATATGAATGTAGCTCGAAATGGATTTGCAAAAATCAGATTTCATGTAGTTCATTGCCGTTCAGGCTAAACATGATCGGATTTCAGACAGTCTGAACGAGGCTGATGTACAGCTGGACTGTCAAATAGCTCAAGTTCACAACTGTGAAAATCAAGACAACATTGTCAAGTACACAATACAACTACACATTACTCTTATTATATAGCAGCAATCAGGGTCTGAAGCAATTAAAAGTACATTTTTAAACGGGAACTATTTTTAATGTCTATTTATTTGTAAATTTGAAACATTTTTAATTTACATTTTATATTTAATTAAAAATTAAATACAGTTGATTATTTAACAAATTAATAATTAATTCTTGTTATTCTTAAGCGGCACTCCATAATTCACAATAGAATTTTATTTAGGATGCCCAGAGTTTTTTTCTTCAGAACTCCATCTGCTGATATATATGTGGAATATTACCCACATTAAGACACCAAAATGAAAAAGAAGACAATCACGATGTGTCATTTTTTTGTGCTATTTCAATGAAGACTGGCTCACCTTGTACATGATTCTGCAAGTAACCCAACGTTGTAACAAATATACAAGCTAAAAATGCTGAAATAATCTAGTTGTCCCATACATACAGTACAATGTATGCACATTAACATATAGAGCAGTGAACTGTGTACATATGGACATCATATATGCATGTGTAGTGAGTAGGTGGAAATAAATAAGCTTCAGTTCTGAAAAAGCACATGGAGTAAGAATAGATGCGATTAGTCCACCATTAGACACAGTTTGTCCGAGTTTTCTATGCAGCACCACTGGCTGAGGTGATTACAGCCTACTTGTTCAGCTTGAGGCCAGGTGGCATGGCATACATCACCATCCAAGCTGGCAAAAAACAACAACATAAATACAGCTCTGTGGGTGGATAATTTGTGTGTTACACGCATATTCCTGCAAACCACTTATGCTATTTGTGGAAAAAAGAAGAACATGGATTAACTAAAAATTGTGTCCTTGCTCCAAGGTATTGTCCCCAGTAACCAATTTGATTAAGACTGACTGTAAAAGGAAAGCATATAGAAATGAGATGCTGCGTACATTTTCAAACCTGCTTTCTCCAGTAAATAATAAATAGCACCAGTTGTGTAACAGGTTGGGTTTTAAGGGCTGTTCAGGGCTAAATACAAGTTATGCTCTATCAACAGCATCTGTGGCATGTTGCCGATTACATGGGCACAGATGCTATTGAGCTTAACTTGTATACAGTGGTTTTCATACCGAGGTACAGGATGGATACGCTCAGGTGTTACACAAGACAACAAATTTTAAACAAATGTATAATACAAACATATTAAATATACATTTGCATTTTCTTATTTCTGAAGCAAGATGAACCGAAAAGGTGAGATATTATTATTCAGTTAGATGATTCCCATCTGTGTTATTTAACTTGATAGACTTAAAAGTAAATTCAAGGAATAGTTTACCTAAAATGTAATTTCAATAATCATTTTTTGACATTACAATTATTTGTAATTTTGGAGCTTTTACGTTCATTATACTGAACAAAGTGGCCGTGTAATTGTTTCTCTTTTGTGTTACACAAAGTCAGTCATATGGGTTTGAAATGACATGAGGCAGAGTAATGACACATAAATAACTGAATATGTATTCTTGTGTAAGCTATTCCTCTAATATAAGAGAAATATTTTACATCTCTTTTGATGTCACATGTCTATTCATTCACCATTTTAGCTAAGTAAATTGAAAATTGCCAATTGCTAACTTTGTCAAATATAATTGATGGTGAGCTAATTAACTGCTTGACTGATTCAGTAAGCAGACAGACAAGGCAGATTTTTCTGCTGAAGAAACATCTTCATGTTGTCAATGCAAATGGGACATTAATTGCCCTATTATTTCTTATTAGAGCTGTTAATTTACTTTGTCTAGCTTCAAAGAGGACAACCTCTGGGTGATGTCTATCTTTGCAAGTGTACACTACACATGTATGGCTCCTGAAAGTGTAGAGACCACGGGCAGCATTGCGGTTTCCATATTGTAGGAGGCAGAAAGCTTCTACTCATTCTGATGATGAGTGCTGGGAGGGATTCATACGTCTCTGTAATCAGCCCCTTTGGCAACAATGCTAATAAATAGGAGGTTAATAGGCACATTGTCCAAAGAGAGCAATTATCCCTTGCTCTAACAAGTACATTATTTTGAGTACTAGCTGTTTAGCCTTGAGTCTCCATGACACTACAGTGTTCAGAGCATCATTTGTGTACCATGTTACCTCAGCCAATACATTATGTTAAGAACATAAATTTTGCCTGTTACATCACAGGCTGAGATGAAGAGTATGAGAGATCAATGTGAATGCTTACAGGTAAACAACACTGAGCAGCCTAAGAACTTTTAACGGGTTAGATCACCCAAAAAAATTACAATTCTGAAAATGAAAATCATTCACTCACTCTCATGGTGTTCTAAATCACAGAAGAAAGTCATACAGGTTTGGAATGCCATGAGGGTGAGTAAATGAAGACAATATTCATTTTTGGATGTACCAAGTTAGAAAAGACACTCACCTTCACATCTGTCACCTTCATACGCGTACCCTCCTTTCCCACAAATATATCATCCACGTCAACTAGCAGATGCCTCTCCAAGGACAGGCAGAGTCTTTTCCCTGTCAGATAGGCTATGGCATCCACAAAAATCAACTTGTGCAGCCAAAACGATATATTGTTACCAAACAGCACCCTTTGAATGCCGTCGTGAAGGCCAAGGTCCTGAACTACAGTGGCATGAAGGGCTCGGTGGGGCCCCAAATGGGCCAGTGCCTCTGAGGATTTTGTGAGAGCCAGGAGCACGGGCTCGTAGGTGCTATGGTTAGACTGAAAGACCGTCCAGTCATCGCCAGGGAGCGGGCCCTGCTCCACCTCATTGGGTTTGGTGATGTACAGTAATGGGGCAGCAGGGTTGATGTGGTAGTCCCGTAGGCCCAGGTTAGAGTGCAGGAACAGCGGGAAGCCCTTCAGCTGGGCACTAAGCAGCGAGTTCTCATTGGCTTTGAAGAAGCCGATGATGCCTACACCAAATTCAGCACAATATTTATCCAGCAGGTCACGGTTCCAAGCATCCAAGTTGACATACTTGAGAATGTTCTCATAAATGACCAGGGCGTAGCGGGCGATGTCACGTTCCATCAACGTAGGCATGTCCCCCTTGCTGGGTGCAATCTCAGTGTGGTAACGGAAGCGACTGGACTCAAGGATAGCCACAATCTCTTGTCCTAGCTGAGAGTAGATGCTTTCTACAAAGACCAGCACCACAGGCTCTGTTCGAGAGTTATCCACTGCTTTAACCGTCCTCTGCCGGACTGTGAAAGGGGGCAGGAAAAGAGGAGCCCGTTGCCCTCCTGCTGCGGCCGCGACAACCCCACCACAGTCACTGAAAGGCATAGGGGGCGCCTCCTTTATTTTAGGGCTGTTGCTGACAAAGTAGGCCAGGAAAGCCATGGAGAGCAGGCAAAATACGATGAGCACCAGGATAAGGCGGTGGAGCTCGAGTTGCCTGACACCCCGCACTAACTTCCACAGCCCCATGGCCACAGCACAAACACGGGACAGGGGAAGAGAGGGGGGCAGAGGGGAGGCTGAGAGCCTGACCGTCACAGAGATCGCAGCAAGAGGAGGACAACAGCGAGGAAAAGAGAAGGAAAAAGGAAAAGGGTTGAGCAGCAGACACCAGCACAAGCTTTGGGTCAGGAGTAGCCATTTATGCTAGGTCACCATGGCCCCCATAGCCTATGACGTGTGTCTTTGCTTTGATTGCTGCTTCTAGCCCCGGTCCTCCAGTGAGGTCAGTCAGTTCTTTCACCCCCACCACGCGTTCCCGGAGTGCACTCGCTCTCAGCTGGCGTCTTGGGCCTGGGATAAGAGGATTGGGTTTCTTGATCACTCTCGACACTCCTCCTCCACTACTCGGCAAAGGATCAGCTGTTTTTCTGCCGACTTTTGCGTTGCTGTGTGCCGAGCTTTCAAATAAGCACGTGCCTCTCAGTGCAAAGGGCTCTTTGGGATTTGCTGGAGAGCTTCAAGGCCAGTGCTTCACTTGCCCCGCTGGCCTCAGCAGTGGATGCTCTGAGGGTGTTCACCACTGGGGCGGGATGGCGAACACTGGCCCCTGTAGAGGCCCAGCATGGACGACCACATTCACCATTGGGCAGGAAGAGCCAGAGCCTGAAAGGAGAGGAGAGAGGAGAGATGCAATCAGTCCAAACATTATCAAGTACCTTTAAAGAGTGCATGAATCGGCGGAAGCAAGCAGATCTGACGAAGTGTTCGTAGCCTAGACCAAATGTTGCTTCACTCTTCCAAGCAGCCATGTGATTTTGCTATTAGTGTGACTGCTGATGTGGATCACTACATTACCATGGAGTCTTCTTTTTTCTCATGACTCCTAAAATAGTCCTGGAGCCGTTGTCCTCCAGTAGGTTAGCATTACAGGTACGATAGAGAGATCACTGACCTTATAGATAAGTGACTGGAACAGTTTAAAAGGTGAACTTTGGACCTGCATAGACCTAATTAGAGCATGGGAGGGCAGATGATGGGTAATTCAAAACTTTGATTGGAATGCACTGTTTATCAGCTTGAGAATATCTTAAGTAATCCCCATTGAAGAGAGCTAGTTATACTTAGATCAAGTTTCAAGACGCTGGAGATGGAAATCATTGGATCGCAGGCACATTTTCTCCTTCCTCTCCTCACCAAGAGAGGCTTTGTCAGCTGACAGCCAGCTATCAGTCTCTGACATGATCAATGCCAGCCATGCTGTAACTATAAATCAGGCTAGCACTTAAAGGATAGTTTTTCCCACAGATGAACAAGCATAGCCTGTGCTTTGGTCAAAGGCACCTTGTCTAGGACAGATGATAAGCTAAGAAAGAAAAATAAAGGAAATGACAGAAAAAGCATAAGGAATTAAAAGGCCAGAAAAGAGAAACAGACCTTCACTTCCACCCTCCATAGCTAATAATAAATGCAGAAAATCTTAATGTGGTAATTCACCAGTCTGCGAGAAGGCAAAGAATAATTATAAAGAGAAAAGGAGAATGGCGGTGAAGTGCTCAGCTGCATTAAATTTATCAACCTCAGAATGAACCCTAAAGAGGAACACATCCTGATAAGGAAACCTAGGTTACTATTAGCCTGGGAGCACTCTAACCTCACTGGCCAGTTCTACATCAGTTCAAAACAAACACACAAGCAAACACAAGTGCACACAAACTGCAGGTTTCCATCACAACACGTTGCAATTCATGAGGTCATAAAGATACACTCAGGTCAGTGTATCCATTTAAACATTATATTATCTGTACAGTATAGCAACATAATGAGAGAGAGGGAACAGTAGCCCCAAATCATTGAGCAGAATGGTTTTACATGGCATGTGTTGTTGAAGCCAGGACAAAATTACTAGGGCTGGGTAAAAAATATCGATATTTCGATATTAATCGATTCTCATTTTTACGGAACTATATCGATTCCTAAATCCCAAGAATTGATTAGTCTAGCCTGTTTTCAGTTAATGTATGGAACATTGAAGGGTACTTCCCATCCAATAAATCGCAATAAGCATTGTGCTTTGGTACTTTTCATATGAAACAAAGTCTCCGATTTCAAATTCTGTCCATTGTATTGCAGTATTTAAACAATAAATGCAGTTTTGGCACTGTTTAATGTGGAGTGACAGATCGCTGTAGCACCTCAGTTCAATAAAAGCGGCAGCGCGAGGCGCACGTGAACTGATCGTCTCCTCCACATTAATACCAGTTTCAGCACAAAATAAACATGACTAAACATCTGAAGGTAAGTTAAAAGAAAGAGTACAACTTTACAATCCGCATCCTGTCTCGTGTAATCGCTCAATCAGTGTTTCAGCTGCGCAAAGACGCCAATATAACGGCTTGTAAACAATGTCACGTACGTAATGTCACATTTACCTCAGAAAAAACATATTCGGTGACCATAAACTCATTAGTCAGATAGAAAAATAAACTGTAGAGAGCAGCATTTTGCTTAATATATGCACCATATAACATTCATTATAATTTTTTACTGTTCTTCAGTGTTTAATTTATGTTTGAATAAATCCATCAAGACAGCCACCATTTAAATGTTTATATTAAAGGGGTTATATGATGCGATTTCAATTTGTCCTTTCTCTTTGAAGTGTTACAAGCTCTTGGTGCATAAAGAAGATCTGTAAAGTTGCAAAGACTAAAGTCTCAAATCCAAAGAGA